AGTCTTCACGGTCGATTTGTGTCCTGGGTGTGACCTGAACTTGTAATGACAATAATTCACCGGGTAATGCTATGCACATGTAAATTGGAAACGAGAATACAACGACAATATCACCTTCTCCTTCCCGTACTTATCATGTTCTCGCATGAGTATTCAATACATACGTTTATGCATATGAATTTTATTCTTATTTTTTTCAACACTGAAACATATACCCGACTAAGTGTAAGAAATGCTTCAAGATTCACGGCGGCGACAAACGCCAACCATTTGGACGTCGTGTCTGTACGCGCGTATAATTTAATATTTCAACGTGTGGAAAACATACAAGCTATGCAGTCGTGTATGCTAATTCGTATAAAAAAAGACAAGAGCAGCACAAGCATTTTACCCATTCAGCGATGTCAGTTGTTGTTAAATGCCAAACAAACCCTATTTAATTATTCGTGACATTTACAACATTGAAAATCGATTTTCAAAATGCCATTTATATGTTTCATGTTTATAGATCACATGTACACTGCTCGCTAGGCCGATCAGTCACGAGAAAAAATTTAATTACATTTTTGACACTACAACTATTTATTTTTACTAATTGCAATTGTACTAAAAGGGTGACGAGAAATTCACACCATTCATACAGTTTGAAAATGAACAAATGCCCAATAATTTCTAGGCTGTTTTTAAACGTGGACTCATTTGATCTATTTTCAAATTGTTTTTAATCACGATACACGCTGTATCATATTATTTTAGGTCGCCTAGGTGTACATGTTTAATTATTTGCCGAGTCATGTTTCTTTGAACACTTCTCGAGAAGACAAAAAAATACATCCATCATAAATTAATATAATAAAAAAAAGGCATCGTAGTTTATTTCTTATTCCCAGAATGCTATTAACTGATTGAGTTGTCTAGAACATTTTTTAACTGTCTTATTTCATATAATGAATATAAAAAAGCAGAAGAATAAATAGTAGTAGTCATTATCAAAATTAATTGTACAGAAATTTATATTTATTTTTAATTAAATTAATTTTCAATATTTATTGTGCTGCCTTTCAATTTTATATTTAAACTGTAAGTGATTAAAAATGAACACATTCCAAAAGAGTTTTTAATATTAACGAGAAATGATTACATAGAAAATGTTGTACTGTTTAATAGCGTCCTAATAGGACGTGGGTGTTTTAATAGTTCTCGATGGGAAAACAATAAATTTTACGATTCTCTGATCAAAATAGAAGGGGTCGCAAGCTAAACGTTAACTTCCAATTTAATTGTGCAATGTGTACACGCTAGACCTTAAAAGTCAACTATAAAAAAATTACGTTTTTGGATAAAAAAAAAAATGCACAATTAAATTAGATAAAATCACCAATACATTTTGTAAACAGTTTTTACTTCTGTCAAAAATGTGATTTATTCAATAAAAAAAATAAGGCAACCACCTGTCACCGTAATAATTTCAGAATTATTTTGAAAAGTGACATTCATTTTATGCATTTTTCACTTGTAAAAAAAAAAAAAAAAGACGTTAAGTATTAAACTCACAAAATATCTGATAAAGTTCAAATTAATCCAAAACAAAAATGTGAAGGAAATATGAAACATTTTGAACGTTGATAAAATAATTTAAACGCCTTTCATAAATTATTAAAATATCCTACTGGAGAACAAAACCGATCAGAGGAGATTTAATATGAGTTGAGATGATTTTCATGTCGTTGCATAATACAACGTAAAAAGATTTGCGATAAAAATAAAAACTGGTTTTATTATAATAACATTATTTATTACGTTTGCCGACATTATCACAATGGTGTTATAATAATAATAATATAATATAGCAATGGTATGCAGTAAATTTATATTAGCTTATGACACCTAATAACTTAGGTCACAAAAACAAAAAACTTATGTCACTTTTTTACCCCTTGTTTTTGTCAATAATAACAACGGCAGTAAGCAATCAATAAAGATACTTGTATAAATTCACGGAATCCTTTTAGCAAATTAAATTAAAATGAGTGCGAGTAAAAATAAAAATTTATTTATAGACATTTGTCCAATCTTAAAATTATCTCGGCTCTCTGCAAACTAACTGTTAGTTATTTTACATAGAAACGTGTAATTTTCTTAATCAGTATGCGATCATCACGATAACGACGACATCGGAAGGCTATTGATTGGATTTTATGAGACATGTTAGCTACCGTATTAAAATGTGCGTAGAACTTTACTGGCGCGTTAAATTGACTACATATTTCACGTGCGATTGACAAAAAATGTACAATTATGCTTAAACCGCTAATGAGACGTATAAAGTACAATGATATTTTATATAACGCGATGACCGCCTAGGGTAAAACACAACTCAGAATATCGTTTATTGTAGTAATTATCGCCCGGGGAACCTATTGATTGTGTACGTGTGCGTCTGTAATTGACATTAGAATAATGAAATGCACAACGGTGTCGACTGTGCGCCGGTAATTGACGACTGTTATGCAAATGGGGTCGTGTGTGTGTGTGTGTAAAGAAGAAGAAAGAATTTTCGCCATGTTACTTCATCAGCTCATAGCTGTCAGACCGCGAGCAGTAATAATATTTATATAGCAAATTATGTATAAAAAGTGTAATTAAACTATGAAAACCCGAGCTTAATTCCATGCCGCGATTCAAGAAGCACATAAATAATTCTATTTCAAAAATATTTAAGTAATGAAAAAGTACAGATAAAAACAAACAAATCGCTATATTCCGTTAAGTTTCACTTAACTTATATTGGCTATTTTTTTAAATATTACTATATAATAAGCGACACAATCGATCGAGCTTCTATACATGATGAGACCAGTAGAGCTTTTTACAATTCCATTGCCTTAAATACACGGTCTGTGTGTAAGTGTAAGTGACAAGATTTTGAGCACGTACTTTAAAGACGATTTTAATTGGACTGTTCGGTTACGCCTACCCCTTCACTCCTTTCGCTCTTCTGTTAACTCTTACATCGGAACCAAAAAAAAAATTTCTAAAAATAAAAAATATAACATACGGAACCTACGGCTTCATTCGACCTATCTCTCGTTAGAGTCAAGCCCGCCATTTTACCAGATCGAGTTACTTACGGAGCCATTGCGGTAGTCACCCCACCGACATGGTTCAAACCTCATCTACCTCTCCACGTATCTATATACATTTCACAAAGTACCCCCTCGGACACGCTAAATACGATATTTTATATAGCCGCGCGTAGGGCACTATTGGTCGCATTGAATGGTGGCGGCGATTTTTTAAAATTAATATCATTGTTTTAAGGCGGAACGTACAAATAAGTTGTCTGGGGTCCCTTGTTATACAACACACTCACAAATGTTGTCGGGCAGCAATACGATATTATATGCGTTCGATAAGTGACAGCCGTGTGCGCATCTTAAGAGAGGAGGAGGGAAAAACTGAGTTACACGTAAACGCCATGATATTATAATCCCATCTCGAGAGTGCGGGAAACGTCAAGTAAACTCGACAGACCGAAATCGAAGCCTTTCCGCTCAGTGGGCACGACAAAAAAAATTCTAAGGACACGTCTTATCACCCTGTGCGGTATGAATCACAATTATGTTAATACGGTTTTAAGCTTCGAGACTAGTTTAATGCACATTATATTATGCGTGTTATGGCCCGCGACAATTGGGTCTGACAAGCATTGTTGATTAAAACGCTTTTTTTCAAGTAACCAGGTTATAAATAGGAAAAAAGGGAACGATTGGGCTAGACAAAATTGTCAAATTAAAAGATTCAACCAACAGCCGAAAGAAATGTTTCAGTAAATACGACGGAAAACGTATCAAAATTTGTATTTAATTAGAACCTTGTTAATTGACGTTTTCTACTATTGTCTTGTCTACTTATGACGATGGTATTGTTGAATTTGCTCTTCCCGATGAGGTAAAACTTATTTTACTCAAAGTTTGCTGTCGACAGCAAACTTCATGTTTCCTTTACTTGTTAAAATACAAAGATAGAGACGCCATTTCGCTTACTCAAACTACATTTTGATATAAATATAAAAACCAACAAAAATTGAGATCAAAAGTGACAATCTGGGTCGAACTCGTGTAAATAATTGTTAGCGGTATAATTAGATAGATTTGCATGATTAATACTAGACAGATTATAGAATCTCAAGAAAAGTATGAAACAAAAATAAAACATCTAACAATTTGAATATACTCTTGAAATAAAAATCCAAATAACTGAGACTACAATGAAACAGTGCCTTGTCAAATACATATTAAATAATAATAATTTGAAAAATAAAACTCTTTTATTTTCTGAATAACAAAGAAATAAAATTTGGCGTTTCTAAAATAAGAAAAGTTTCAATTTAAAAATATTCAATATAATACTATTCTCGGTTAAGTAATGAAAATATAAATGTCACTGTCCGTGTTATTTTTAGAAGAAACGAAATAATATCGATTCTCATTTTATTGCATCTGGCATACGCCACTTAAGGATTTCCTTCATAATATCATTTTGGGGTTTGAAAGAGATGGTAAAAGAAGATTATGAATACCAAAGTCTCGTTCCCTCGCTGGCCTCGTGAGTTTCGGTAAAAACAGAGTGGCAGACTTATCAAAATCCATTAGTTTCCCCAAAATAACGTCACATTACAGTTTTAATCCGTTACATATGTTGTCACAACGGCATTTTTATCGTCGCTCCCATAAAAACAAATAAGAAAACTCATATGTTTGTGTGTGTGTATATATATATATATATATATAATCTATTCTAAGCGGTCAACTACAGAGTCCGGTCCATTTAACGTCTAGAAAATACCAAATAATTTTCCGGGGTTTTCTTTCATATTCTTATATTGGAAAGATTTTATCTACCGGAAAAGAATGGTGCATTGGGATATTTGTAATATGTCAACATGTAAAATTATATTCGTTGGTCCCCGATGAAATAAAAATAAATCTTAAACTCACCCCTGCTGCATTGGCATCCGGTCCGTAAGGATATGTTGTCCATCGTAAGCTGGGTTCGGTGGTAGTGTCTAAAAGAACGACTAAAAAAAATAAAAAAAAAATACATCAATACTATTATGGCAATCAATTAAATAAAGTAAATTTACAAGAGGAAATGTCTTAAAGCATAAAAATGTTTACTTCTGACTCAGAACGAATAATAAGGTAAAACATTATCGGAACCCAGTAATTTGTTATGTGTATGTATTGTTTTATACGCTGTACTGGGCTTTTTCGCTGCCCTGTATGTATTTGTTTTCCAAAGTAAATGTAAACAAGCATAAACGCGACGTCTCCTAACCAGGTATATATTTGTGTCCAGCGTTTAAACCTCCTGAGTCTAGACCAGGGGAAGGTATACGAGGGGGAACATAAATTCAAGCAACAACAGCGAATGGTTCATTGTATAAGCGGCGGACTGTGTGAGTTTTTCATTTGTTCAATTGACCACCCTCCGGTGTACCTTATTATCGTACTTCTGCGTGTTAAAACCCTCAGTGTGTCCGTCTTCTCCTTTACTCTCCTCTTACGGCCTAACCAATATTCTGCAACGCACATCGTATGGGTACACTATACACACAACTGAACAGACGAAACGGCTCCCGTTTAAGTCTATATACTCGTTGAGAGTATAAAATATACGTTCAAATAAATGGAAAAAGGGACGCGTAATCTGTTCACTTCCTTCGCTTCGACTAGGATGCAATTTCATGCCATTTATATTAATTAAATTTTCACGGGCTAAACTAATATGTACGTCCGCGGACATAACGAACACACACTCATATAGATTTGTAATTTTTTTTTACCGCCCGGTGAGAAAATCGACTTTTAATACCCTTATCGGATCCTTTAATGAAGTTGTATACTACGAACACCGCATGTAATTAGTCTGCTCACCCTCAACGTTTCTCCAACTTAACAGGCGTCTCTCACGCGAACGATCCATAAAATATGTTCAACAAAAAACTAAGAACAACAACGTTTTGCCACCGGGGCGAATGGAAACCGCTTCGAGGCATGTCAAAATGACTCAATAATATTGTTGTACATCGTCTGTTGCAACTATTTTATATACGCCAAAGGTCTTGTGAAAAACGCTTAGGGGAGACTTAATTTCCAAATGCAGCACTAGCTTAGCGGAGAACGCCCTATACATTAGATCGACCCCCTGCATGTGATTATTATATTGTTTCCGGCCATTTTTACTCGTAAACAGTTGATTGGCTGCTTGGTCTATGCATTTTATTGTAAAACAGAGACCAATTGAAAAAACAAGTATATGTGTGTATGCAGACTAATTTTTTCAAGTATATTTCCACCCTAACGTTTTTAAAAAGATTTGTTTTTGCATACATAATAGAAGTATAAATTACAGTACTGTATTTTAGTTCCAGACGTTACAGATACGATACGAGTACTTCCAGTTGTTCGCCAAAGTTACTTGCATAGCTTCAAAAAATTAATTAAACCGAAATAAATGTTCAATTTGTTTGCAGGTGTACGCCTGTAGTAACACGCCATCAGTCGGTAGATTATGTCCAGACACACGACATTAGCTGAATACGGAAAAATTATTTGAACATTTTTGCATAGTTAGTAGATTAAATTAAAAATATAGAGAGATACATCGGTTTACAAGTAAACATCAGAGAGGTTTATCACTGTGAGAGAACACACGCGCGTATATGTTTCTATTGCTAATATGATATTTGAATAGCATCAGCTTCAAAGGACTGTAGAGATTAATTAAATTGGCGTAGTCCGTCATAACGTCGCAAATATTTAATTATTAAATACTAATTGCATTTTTCACTTTTAAAATTCCTGCGAACATTATCATTTTTATAACATTCTACGTAATATAAAAATTATTAATTATAATATATATATATATATATTAACTACGGACAAGAATTTTTTACGTTGCCTGTGAGTGAACTGTACAACAGTTTTTTTTTCAATAGTTTATAACTCCTATGCCAGTGGTTCCCAATCGTTGTCCTCGTATAATAATAGCGTCGCTTAACAACGTACATAACTCTAGGAAGAACTAAAAACGAAGAATGCAAAGTTATAACGATAAAATTACTCCTTTGGGAAACATGGAGGCGGTTATATCGAGAGAAAACTATACTATATAAAATTATATATATAACACGATAGTATTGTTATGGCTTTGTAGCTGTATCGGCCGTATAGGTACAGTTTACACGAGCAAAAATCTGCGGTTCCATTTTTATTAGCCGCAACGCGTTAAGAGGCCACATTAAGACGGAGAGAAACAATGAGAAGGATTAATTTAACGGATGGACTTCATAAAATATCCGAACGCTAAATAGCTCTCTGGAGACTAGCAATCCAATAGAATTTTATCGAGTTCAAGAAAAAAAGTGGTTCATCAGAAGCGCAGCGGAAAGAGAGGATGATTATTCGTTTACTTGACGGGTCTTTCTACAATTTGAACGGTAACTTTTTCACAAAAACCAATTACAATTTGATGCTTTTTGGTGCGACGAGAAAAAAACAAAAGCTCATAAACTTTTGGCGTTCTCGCTGATTCTAGTCCTCGTGACTAATTTCACCGCAGTGCGCAGAGTGTGGGGAAAACCCCTGCGGCAACTGTATCATCCATCGTAGCGGTAAAGAGAGAAATGTCGTAAAAATTCCATTGTTGGTTTTCAAATTTTACGGGTCGCTGGATGCGGAGCGGCTAAGCTCGTCTAAAAGTGTACTGGAAAATATATACATAAGTATTTCGTACCAACGTAATCAACTTCTTTAAACGCATCAGCCCATACAATTTGCATGGCATAACCGCATTTACATCTTTCTTTTTAACAATAACGTAAAAACAATGTTGGCGGTTGTAAATAAAAATACAATTAAATGGCCAGCCATAGGCTCTGAAAATCACTCTTTCACCGCAGATTTCTTCTTTTTATTACAACCACGAGCTTCAAATTTTCATCGGAAGTTCCAATAAAAAAGCAAAAATAATATATATATATATATGTACGACCCTTGGTGTAATGTATTTTCTCGTCGTACGGTGAGCAGAGTGTGGCGAAGAGGTAAAGAACCTAATCATAAAAACGTTGACGGCAGTATAGAAGCCGCATAAAACAACTGCACGCATACACAGCTATTGCTTTTTTATTATCCACAAGATGAACTAATACTACAACGACACGTGCGGAATTAACCGAAAGTTGAAAATTAAAGTACGAATACCGACAGGAAGCGTGGCGTTGACACAGACAAACCTTTTGCTAAATAAACAAACTCAGACATCCCGTGAAACCAGAGAGCTATTGTCGTCGTGTAATATTCTCTTTCTTCTACTCGACTCGACACATTTTTAGCCGCGAACGCGCATTTTATACGTTCCATCGCTCTACGACGCCTCTAAGGTCATATACATAAGCGAGAGACAAAAGAGCATACAATATCACGTGCATAAAAGAATGAACTGTACACTAAGCCTGGGAGCAAAATCAATACACAATGTGTTTTATAACAGTGTAACACCTGTAAAGGTATACGCATAAAATATGAAAAAGAATATTTTTTTAAAATTAAATTGACTATAAAGTAACAAAATAAAAACTTAACTATAACACAATAACCGTAAAAAAAAAAACCAATTGATGGCATGAAAATTATTCGTATACTATGTAAATTAGTTATGAGCGTTTCATGCACGTTTCATAAAATCTGAAGTTATTAATAATTTAAGATTTGATATTTGTTCTTCAAAATGTACTACTCGTTCGTGGTGAGTTGTAGTTTTGTACAAATACGAACACGTGAACGAATGTTTAGATGCTCACAAATGTATGTGCTAGTTTATCTTCAGTGTTCTTAATTAGATCTTTAATGGAAGTGAACAGCCGGCAAGTGCATTGTTAATAATACAACTATCCCAGAGAAACTGAGGGTCGAAATCAGTAGACGAGTTTTGTACTAAATGGCTAAAAGGAAACGAATGGTTTAAAGAAGCATTTGTGAAAAGTTCAGCAGATTTGTTTGATGTACATATATAACGACTAGAAGAGCAACGAGCGCCTGCAACAGCGACGAAAGCGGTGGATCGATCGGCAACACCATAGGACATATACTGTGAGAGGTCTCCGCCATTCCTTTATTGGACCGTAGGGCAGGAGGAGAGGATACGAATGTGTCTCTCCGGGGAAAACCGACGGCGGTAACAGCACCTCCACTACTTATTGGAACATTGGCTGCAGCTTTTCGGACACGTTTTACGTATATAATGTATATAAAAATACGGAGAAGTTATTTTGGGCGAGCGAAGGAACGACGAAAGCAAAAATTAAAAAAAAAAACTTTATTTTATTGCGTAGGTTTTACGATTTTTGAACGAGAGGAAAAAAATGAAAAGTGGGATTGAAAGTTTCTATTGTTAAATTTACTCACGCTATAGAGTTAACTTTAAATTTTATTTTAAAATAATGAAGAAATTACTTCGAGCATTCAACAAAATGTGGCAATTCATGAATAATATTAAAAACTTTTGAATTTTAGACTCTTTTTTAGGTATGGAGTAGAATTTACGTTGAAAAATAAACAATATAATATTTTAATAAATGATTGCACCAATTAATCTTAATTTGTAATTTTGAGATTTTTAGTATAATGATTTTTTAATGTTGATAAAATACATATTTTATTCACAAAACTACTCTATGTTTCGTACAGATAATATTTATATTATAAATATTATTTATAAATCATAGTATTAAAATAACATAACATATTATTCGATCAAGATAGTTTGTGAATTTCTTTATGCGTACACATTTTAATGAAGTATCTGTACACTATAAAGCTTTATTGGATTTAAAAAGACTTTGAAACGTTTATTTAATGAGGTTCAGTGTCCGGTTTTATCGTCTAAGCCTCTTCTCTTTTTTAAACACTACGTCAAACGAGCACTCGAGTCTATCGATTTATCACTTTAATGTAGACTTTTTTAACGAAACTCGTTTAAAGGGTTGTTTTAAATCACACTTAACCTAGC